CGCATGGTCCAGTAGAACCAGAACATCTTCCTGGTGTGGCCAGAGTATGAAGGTTTAATCTACGTACCTTAACCATAGAGTTGGCTTTAGAGATATAGATTCTAATGCCATTTCCTCAAAGTATTCCATCCGCCATTGCTGGTGATAATGGCGAGCTCATTTCTAAGCCCTCATCCTGTTGATATATGAGTGCTCCCATTCTGAAGTGTGTTGTTTGTGTACAGAAGGTTAACATCTCCATCAGATTATCTATTGGAATACTGGTCCGTTCTTCTAGGGATGAGTCAGAGGCCAATCTGTCTCTGACTACTGAGAGTGCCTCCTCCGTGGGTACCTTGGTGAACAAACTCACCACGTCTAAGCTCACCATCTGGTTACATAGGATGGGAGCATCTTATTATTATTTCCACGAAGTGGGCGGAGTTTCGGACATATGAAGGAGACTTTCCGATCAATGAGTCAATAATATCTACAAGGAAGAGACTCATAAGTGGCACACAGAGCTTTGGCAACTAACAATCGGCCTGAGCAGAATACCCTCTTTGTGAATCTTAGGGAGACCATATATGTAAGTTAACTTGGTGTCCCGCTGCAATAGCTACATAGACGTTTTAGGTGCGAAGTGATCCTTGTTCTTTATTAGTATCTGTGACAGTTTGTGTTCCCTTTTCATTGTAGGATCCTTTTTTACTTTACTGTAGCTACCATTGCTAATGAGGTCTTCCAGCTTTCTTGTGTAGTGATGGACAAATCAAATAATACATGCAGAATCAGCACTCATCAGCAGGCAGTTTACCTTCAACAGATTTGATATATGTTTCTTCCTCCATTAATTATAAGTTAATTAAATTTTATTTTACGCATCTTTTCACTCAGTAGGGATATCATATTTTATTAATAATTTTCAATAAAAATATATTTTTACTTTGTCTGGAACTGATTAATTAACAGAATATATTCTAATAAAGTGTCTAATAAAATTTGTATCTAATTTGTTCATTTTATCAAATCTTAATTTAGATGAATTTTTAAAGTTTTTCTCCATAAACACTACATATTTAATTTATTTAATATATCTTTATAAAGTGTACAATTATTTAGTTTATTAAAAATATTACTTATTTCATTAAATATGACTTTTCTGAGAATGCCATCGATGAAGTGAGTAACAGGGACATTTTAAAGGAAATGTAAACAAGAGACACTTGGGCTTAGAAACATGAAAGATTCAGTTGAGAAAAAGAAAAGAGTGCTGAACTGCCTGCTGATTCGTACTGCTGACCTGCATATGTGTAACATCTTTCGTTATTCGTTAACAAATGACATATAATATTACAATGACCGATACATCCGAATAAATTACTTTATAATTTACATCTTGCATCACTTATACATTCTATAATCTTCATAAGTCATGCATTTATTGTAAAATTTAACATTTCGTTTTAAACTTTAATTTAACATTACTTGTAGATTTTTTTTTTACTTTTTTGCATTCTTCAAGATTTTCATTAATTCAAAAAATATTGTTGCTGTTTCCTCCTTGGTGCTAACTGCTAGTGGAGCGGCCATGTTTAAACTGTAACAGCTGGAATAAACCTCGCGCGACCAAACCGACACCTCCCATCACGTGGCCACAATACGAACAACTATAAGCACACATTAGCAGAAGGTAGTGTAAGAAACCAAACATATATTAAGGGGAATGTGCTGATAATTTTTTACTTACCTTCGTACATATACATATAGTAAAGAATATTTACATGATATATCCAGAAGAAACGGTGAATAGCTACTTTCCTCTTCTTCGTTTAATCCCCTAGTGACGTAGATATTCAACCCGTCATACAAATTGTATCAACAATATTTTTACAAACTTTGCAGGCCGGTTCCTGACACCAAAACATGGTAAAATGTCTATATAAACCTGTGTCAAAAAGGCCATCTTTGTATCTCAGCGCATCAACTCATAACAAATATTCAAAATGTCCTCCGCTTAATTCTACACATGCAAGTACCTGTATAAATGGCTGACGGACGCGTTCAAATACTCTCACACGGTGTTAAAAGGTTTAGAAGGCCCCCATGACACGATCATAAAGCCAAAAGATTGAGTTCGGAGGAACATGCACGCCATAGAACCGGACCTCGACTACCTATCCATTTTTCATGATAGTTATTAGCCAGTGTATCGACAACAATGTGACTAAGATGCGCTGGAGCCCTCTCATCATGCATGAACCACATGTCTTCGTATTAGCAGAAATACATCCTCTACAGGTCTGGAAGTGCGTTCGAAATAAAGTCCCTGGAGACATCTCCTTTGTTGGGAGAACATATGGACCTACCAGACAGTCACCTACAATTCCAGCCCACACATTAATCGTAAACTGATGCTGGTGTCTAGCCTGTATTGGACTATCGGGATTCTCATCCGCCCTCAAAAGTTGGTTGCGTAAATTTTTTATCCTATCTATTCCAAATGTTGCCTCATCCGTAAACAAGACTGAAGAAACAAAGAACGGATCGGCAGTTTGGACAATAAACCATCAGCAAAAGTTCCCCCGTGGTGAGTAATCAGTGAGCAAAAGACGCTGCACACGTTGTAAATGAAACGGGAGCTGCTCTTAAAATACCCTCCATGCGGTACTATAAGACGTCCTACATGTTAGAACGTGTGTTGATAGCTGGATCGTCTCCAACAGCATGTAGAATGTGTTCTTCATGGTCAGGAGTACGAGTGGACTTTCTCGACCCATAATTTGTGTTGCCACTAATCCTGTCTCAGCAACTCGATGATAAAGAGGAGCAAAACTCGGATGACTCGGTTGCCTTCGATCTGGAAACACAATCTGACACGTCCATTATCGTTCGTGTCCATTATCGTTCGAGCGGCCGGACGTAAAATTCATGTGTCTGCACACGATATAAACAATCATGTCGTCGTTAAACGTAACACTTCTCAGTTAATTCACTACTATACACGTTAAATGTTAAAGACAGACTAGCCAGAAATGCATACGAATGACAAATGTAACCTAGTCCTTAAGGCAACAGCGCCATCTACCGTTAAATTTCTTTAAACTTAATAACCCAAAAACGAAATATCTTTATATGGATTTCTCTCCTTGTTTTGTTGTGAGGTGTGTAAAAGTATTTTTGATACACACTGTATATAAAGCCCTATAAAGTAGCAATATTACTTGACTTGAAAATCCCACTGAAACCGGAAACTGAGAATGACTCTGGAATGTTGATTCCAATAGATAGGTATGTTGACGCACTTTATTTTATACAGTTTTGAGTATAAACCACTTTCGCTTGGGATCCCGCCAGGTCATATCTACCTATGGTCGGTAAGAGTCTGTCGTGCCGACAGTCCAAAATATAGTACAAACACATGCTTCATAAATAATCTCTCGAGAAATTAATTAACGAGAAGGCAACTGGAAGTAAGCCAAGATTTCAGTAAACATCCAGGAATGTCCTGAATTAACAAGTGCTTACGTGGCATATTGTTCGTTAGTAATTTGCGATTGACTCAGCTGATAATTTGCTCTATTTATAGACAGTGTCTATGATAATATCTCATGAGTTTTAATTATAAGCGAGGCTAATTTGGAAGACTTTTCTTTCAATTGTGTAGGATGCTAAGAGGTGAGAAAATGTGGGATGGGTTGGGAAATATATTGAGAAAGTTACAAAATTACTTGTACTCGATCAACATTTTGCCGGTTTTGTGTGGGGGACGTGTGAAGTTTGTTCCTTATGAGACAGTGTGGAACTATGAAGGATGTGATACTACATGCTGCTTAGAGACACAACAATTGAAAAGTTTAAAGTGCCAAACAAGGCAAACTCTCTCTATCATAGCACCATGTCCTGCAGGCATTTGGGATGTTTTCCATCTCTTATCTGTCTACTGAGCGCTGGCTCCTATAAAAAAAACCTCATCCGCCGTTTGTCAACCCTGTCAAAGCCGGTTTGGATTCAGAGTCTTTCTACTCCTAGACAGGCTGCTAATCAAAGCTACAGATCTCAGTTTGCTCTTCTATTTAGCCATAGTTGTAGATACTTTGTCATCCATGTGAATTAAGACTGAATAAAATAAATATATTATTCAGTAATGCTCTGGCGCTATATTCCCAGTATAACAGTATTAGAAGGCGTTTTACCCTTTTCTAAACCTTGACTGAAACCTTTCACACGCATACTCTGGTTTTAATGCTTCCAGAGATGAAGGAAACGGAGAAGTGGATTTGGAAGACATTTCTTGCTGTATCATTATGAGGAAACAAGGTGGTGTCTCAAATCTAAGATGGCCTTAGAAAGTTTGAACCAGTATTTAAGAGACACGTCCCAACTGGGTATGTTTCGAATTCTGGATCATGGATCACATAAACTGTTGCTTGTCAAGGTTTATCGAAACACTCCTCTTGCTTAGTTAATGTCTAACTCCCAGAATTCCTGAATTTCTATTGACATTTCAGTCAATAATTAATCTCTGTGCATATAACAAACGCTAAATGAGAACGACAGTAAGAATGTGTTCGTCTTTCCTATCGATATTTTCGTCAGTGTCTTCAACGAGAAAGTTTTGGATATAAATTAATGCTTGCCTGAAAATTATGAGGTCAAATTCGAATAAATTATCTGCTCTTCCATTTCTTTCATGCATATCTGAATTTAGATGAATTTATTTTGACTCAAAACTTCATTAGTGGAAAATGTAGAACGAATTCAACTCATCAATAATGACTTGCGAGATTAAATTGCTTCTCATCAATCTATGTTTAAACTCTTCGTTTATTGCGTCCCTGGCTATGATTTCAAATATTTTCGTTGGAATTCGACGAATTGTGACAATCACATATATCAAGAAGCAAATAGATCAAGATCTAATATATTAAAAATAATGCAAGAAATTTATAACGGAACAAAGACTAGTTTGATTAAAGAAATGTTTTGGTATAGCATGAGAACTCTATGAGAAGATACAGTAAAACTTAATTTTATATTTCTCGTTTTTTCTTTCTTCCTCGTCTCTTATTTTCTTCTCCCTTGTTTTTACCTCTTCTTTCACCTAATTTTTATTATTCTTTTACTTTCTCTTTCTCTTCCATTTTTCTTCGCCGTTTTTTTTTTTTTTTTTGCTTCTTCATTTTTACATTTTTTTCTACGTTTTTCTTTTTCTCCCTTCTTCCGTTCTCCTTTTCCATTTACCTCTTCGTTTTCCCATCTTTCCTATATTTTCCCGCCTTTTTCTATTTCTCTTTCTTTGTCGTATTCCCTACTATTTTGAAATGAACTTCCTTGTTTTCTATTTTGTTTTCTTCCTTCTCTTCTTGTCTTTTCCCTTCTTCCATTGTCTTTTCCTTATAATCACTCTTCTTCTGTTTTTATACGCTCATACTTTCTTTTCCACCAGCCTTCTATTTTGAAATTTACCGCCATCTTAAACGTGCTCACGATTACTTTTTAATTCTTTTGCTTCTTTTTCTTCTTTTTAATCCCCGTTCTTTAAATCAACAGAATGACAGATGACGTAAAACAGAATGATATAAATATTCGTTTTTTATTATTATTTTTTTAAGTCATTACCCCCTGCTGTAAAAAATGATGACGTGAAGACAACACTTCTCATCACCAACTTTCGATTCTCCGTGAAATAATACACAGCTGTCATTATGATGTCTTTCGGACGATATTAAGACCCATTAGGAGCCTGAAAAATTGACGTGTTCTCTGATTTAAAAGAAAATGCAATGAATGTGACTTCAGGTGGCAACTGATTACCAGCCAGCAGTGGAAATTAAATTTACTCTTGTGGTTCTAGACATAAACTTTCTCAAGCGTGATTTTTTTTTCTTTGTTAAAAAATAAGTCGGGATTATTCTAATTAAAAAAAGAAAAAGCGAGAAAGTTAAAAAATATATCAGAAAGTGACTGAACGACATCAACAGGTATGAAAGAAAACATTAGTTTCATTGCTCTTCATTTTAGCTAGGTACCTCCACAATACCTAAAGTTTAAATTAATTTTTAAAAATGAAAAATCTTACTTAAAGCGTTCATTTTAGCTTTAATCGAAAGTTAAATGATGAAATGTACTATTTCCAGTAAGTAAAATACGCTGGTGTATTTCAGAAAGGATTTATATTGACTGGAGTCTATTTTCATTTTATTTTTCATGACATCATTAAAGTCGTCCATTTTTGAGAAATTTGGAAACATAAATTAGTTCCCGGATTTAAAAATTTTGCAAAAATAAAATATATTTTTTGAAGCATTATTTGAGAAATATCAGTTAACTTATAGAATAATTAATCTGATTTCAAACAAATATTATTTACTTTAAGTTTAAAATAGCACAGAAATTATTTTTAGCCAAACAGTAGCTGTGGTTTTTTACCGGCAGTAGCCGTGTTTACGTTTAATGAGGTGATTACAAACCTAATGTTGTAATACGGAAATTTTATCAGTAAAACGTAATTTAAGAAAATGACGTGAGCGCCATTTTTATATAATTTTTAAGTACTTAATAATTTTAAAAATATGACACTCCATTATCAATAGTTCCAAGGTTGCCATAAAAGAATGGTCCAAATGATTTGAAGCAGATCACCAACAAGATCTCCGGCACTAACGTCAACGCTCTCAACATGGTTGTGAAAGTCAGTATGTCCAAGTGGCTTGGAGCAAACCACCAACAGAATCACCCACTTCAATATCAATATGCTGAATGTTACCATCAAGGAATGGTCAGCTAAGAGGTTTAGCTGATTTGAAACAGACGATCAATAAGATCGACGAGATCAATGTCAACATTCTCAATACTTCCATCAATGTGGTGTGGACCAAGTGTTCTGTAGCAGACCACCAAGATTGACGACATTAGCATCAACACTCTCAACACTGGCATCAATAAGGAGTGAGTGTAGAGGTCCAAATGTTTTGCAGCTGGCTTCCAAATAGTTCCACGACACCAAAGTCAATACCATCAAGCTTTTCATCAATAAAGAGTGCATCAAAATGTCTAAAGGTGTCATGGTTAGGAGTTGCGCAGATTTTCATGGTCATACTGAGATTATAATTGAAAATGGTGGAAGATACATTGAATATATTTTGAAATTATAAGTTTTGTTGATATACTTTTGTATGAATAGTTCTAGTGATACACAAGAAGCAAGCTTCAATGTTTGTTTTTCTGTAACACCCTGTATATGTGAGCATGCATATATACATGAGAGAAACCGTGTCTTTACTGTGATTAATTCATTATACTAACTGCCCGGGGTAAACCGGAATTACTTTTGCGGCTGTTTTGTCCTCAGAATGAGTCACTTACAGATTTCAAATCGGACAAATGAAATCAATTAACAACCTTGTAGCAGAGAACTGTCACTATTGTGATGCTGATATGATATTACGATTTGATAAGTATGCCCTTTCTCGTGTGTAAAGACAAACGCCTAATTTGCTAATATATATATATATATATATATATATATATATATATGAACCAAGATTAATTCGTTGCTGAAAAGCGAAACAAATGATTAGGAATATTAAATATTCATATCAAACTAGGATGATAAGGTTTTCAAAAATGTCATGTCCAATTAGAGGGAAGCGGTCATTAATCTTCTCTGAATAGCTATGCATTTTTAGGAAAGATAGAGGAGCGGTTTAACTTTTACATACTACACGTTTCTGAATTCAGAAGTTTCCTTCTCTTAGACTGGTTTTCATCCATAGTTAAAAGATCCTGTCTAACCTGTTACCTAATTCATAGCTGTTGAGAGAACAGATGCATTCATGCTTTTCCAAGTATATGTGTTCTAAAATGAATGCAAATGGTTGAATATGGTTCTCTTATTTTACTTACCGCACCGTTATCATGATAACAACTGTAACGCTTCTTTAATCATTGTTATGTTTATTGTTTGGAACTCGATAACATTAGGTCAATGGATCTGCTCGTCAAGCATTGGTTATTAGTGCTGAAAAGAGGATTATTATGCAGGATTCAAATTCCAAGCGAGGCTGTCGCTTTAGTAAAAATACAATTGCAAAGATATGAAACAATCTCTCCATCTAAGCACACCCAAGTAATATGCTAATAGCAAGCAGACAGGGCTGTCGGATCTTGGGTAGAAACAAGTCTAGAAGGATAATTGAAGTCAAAGCTGTGGTACTCTAATTAATCTTTTATACTTTCGGGATTCACGACCTAATGCGAAGGTTATATCTAACGATTTCATGTCACTAAGTTATATCCATCATTTCATGTATATATATATATATATATATATATATATATATATATATATATATATATATATATAAGGATAGCTCTAGTTGCAATGACTTGAACGGGCTCGGTCAATTTGTCTGAAGATGGCGTGGGCGTGAAATTCGAATTACGACTAGGGATATTCTTTCACAGGATTTAAATTTTGTATGCGTTTTTTAACCGGTCAGGGCAATCTCAGCTTCCAGCATTTTACTGAATTTGTAATTGGGCTTTTCGGCCTATATTTCACTTTCATTCTTTTTTTTTAGTAGTGTCACTTTTATTTGAGACAGTATCTGAATAAAAGTTTTAGGTTTTGTACAAGTCGAGGATTGGTGTATACAGAATAAATTCCAATAACCTACAAATACTATTCTTAAGAGAGTCCTCGATACAGAATAGAGAAAATATAATTATTTATTCGAAAATTATAACATAAACATGTTATAAAATCACTACAAAAATAGCTATTTTGCTTCAACACTTCTGGTGTCTTATCAAGTGATGATGTTAAATGTGGAATAAAGGGTTTTAAAGGTTCAAATCAATCAAACATCCCTCGCAAAGGGAAACACTGTTACATAAGCTGGGGTGACCAATCAAAATACAAGTATATGAGAATTCAAAAAAACTTGACAACGGACTCTACGATATTACTCCAATGGTTAAGAAAAGCTTTATTAATATAATCATTCGCAAAGCAATAAAATGATTTTCAAACTAAAATTGGAAATTAACTGTATTTAATTATTATATTTTTTTTTTAATTAAACGTAATTGAAGTTAAGCCATTGTAATTCAGATGAGTCAGCTCAGTTTGAAATTCCGCATAAATGTATGTAGGTTCGATTCCTGTCGGAGCCACAATTTTTCTTTTGTAGGATATCTCATTTTATGCTAATCGTTATTAATTAACTGTTTAATAATAAAAAGGTGATAAAAAGTTAAAGACGTGTACCCACTAAAAATAACGTGTCTATTAATAATAAATCTAGACAGGTTGTCCCGAAAAATGTACTCATTTTTTTTTAACTTCGTTGCCAGTTTTAATATTTATAAACATGAATTTTATTTAACTTAATCTTTTTCACTTTTTTTTAATTCATTAGACATTAATATTTCTTAATCTTAACCATTATTATTGTTTGCAGGTGAATAAACATTGAATTTATTCTAATTTAAAGAGTAAGTATATTTTGGGTACCTCATGTACATATCTAAAATCTTTGTTATGCTAACTACACGGATATATCCCAGAATGACCCCCGTGTGTGTATTTTTTTTTGTTTTTTTTTATGCGGAAATGTTTACGTTCTCACTCAGACTGTTGTGTTATTCCCAATATCTGCAATTTCATTGCAAAAAATTTATTTGAGAAATACAATTTGCTAAACATATTTCAAAGTAGCTACATTGCCTAAAATGTTGTCATGTAAGACTTAGGAGAGGAATATTTTACGGGTTCTAAAATCATGTCATTTTCGTATTTTAAAAATAAGTTACAAATTCGAAAAATAAGAATTTAAAAAAACTCTATCATTGCCTCGTATTAATATCAATATTTTCAATGATTTTGTCAGAGTGAAATTTGCGTCGACATTATATTTCTCTCGTTTGTGTCATTCAATGAACTTTCGATTCAGTAAGCCGCTTTTAATTACTGCCAAATGACGGCTCCGGGTCTTGCCGCAAGTTGTGTTGTCCATCTGAATATTTCGACACCTAATTAAATTAATAAAAATAATTTTCTCTCAAGGAAAACGAATAAATTATAAAACTAATAATTAATTAGCAAGACATATTCAATTCCCTGTGAAAAGAAAGAAAGAAAAGAAAATTCAAAATGTTGGGAGACATATTATTTATGTCAGATTCTGCCATTCTTAACATATACGTCTGCTAAAACATTTTAAAAGTCTGTTCATATTCCGTTCAGATTTACGAACAATATCTATGGGTTAGTCTAATGGTTAATAAAGGCTTATTAATGTAATCATGCACAAAGTA